TGGTGGCGATGCTCCGATTGCACCGAGCTTTTCAAAGCCTGTCAAAAGTTTTTCGTTTTTACGCAAAGAGGAACTCGACGAGATTTACCTGTATTTCGTTGTAGACTTTAGCCATGCAATCCTTGAGACGATTTGCCTAAACGACCACAGGCTGAGACTGGCAAACCCATTTTGCGAACTTGTTTATACCTTTTGTAGAAGAGCGTTTGAAGTGATCGGACAGGTCGCCCAAAACTGTCGAAGGACTTCATTGATGAATGACGAGTGCTACATATCCAGAACTTAAGTAGGCCAGCAAAACTACAAAGCTTACCTGAAGTAAAGCTTCCCTCACGGAGCGTGGTAGACTGTCAAGGACATTCTTCTCGGCAGTTCTTCCGAGAGAATGATGCGTACTAGAGACTTGTTGCGTGAGCTCGGTTAAAACCTGTTGGAAAGAGCAGTGGAGAGGGAGTGAATGGATGTGAGCCAAAATGCCAAACCTTGAAAGCGAGAGATCCAGGAATTATAGGAGCTGTCCCGTCCTGGTGTTCGAACTCTTCTATCTGCTGCCTCAAACGCTGCAAGATCTCGTTGGGATGTAATGTTGAAGAACTACTCGCTCCAATGTTGGTATTGGCTTGTACATCGAAATACTTGCGAGGATCCTGTGTTCACCAAAAGGAAGAAAAATCACTCAGTGAAATCTTCCTGGCTATTGATTGCATGCCTGTATGGAAAGAGGAACGGACGGAAGTCCTCGAGGGCCTTGTAAATCTTCAAGCTCGGTCATAGCTCTAGCTCTACGATCGTTTTCCTCCACCCTCGTATCTGCCACAAAAATCTCAGCTTCAACCTTCTACAAGCTCGAGCCAAACGCAACCTTGTTGCTGGACTTTTGCCAAAGCCTGAGCAATGCTCATTGCATCGTTCCTGTTTTCCTCTAGAAACAACAGTCACACGGTCATCATCGTAATGAAACGAGCTGTGATCATCATACCGAGGAGTCGACCTTCTAGCACAACTTCCCCATGCCTGTTAATATCGCGCATTAGTTTGTTTCTCATGTTGCCATCGATGGGATCCTTAGCTCTGTCTCTGTAAATTCCATGTCCCTACCCAATCATCGTTAGAGAAGTTTAGCATGAGCACCATATCGTAGGCCTACCGGCAGAGAAGAATCTGCATTGTCTGCAGCGATGTCTAAAGTTGGATCCACTCGTTTTATCTGTTTCGCTGTCAGTAAATGATCGTTTCAGAATGGCGGCTTACTTTCCGGCGATACTCTTTGGCAATAATGTCATCGTCGTTCACAAATACTGCTAGCTCCTCGTCATCTTGTGCTTCAGCCGTTGCTGCGGCGGCATTCTTAGTCCGATGGAGATAATCGTTCCTACAGTACTTTGTCCAGAAGGCTATTTCGGTCATCTACAATTGGTACCAGAAAAAAATCTGTCAGCATTCTATTGCATAGCATCCGTACCTTTGATGGTACAAAGTTCAGAAAAGCTCGATGGACAGCCGGCTTTTCCGCAAATATCTGAGTCAAAAAATAAGAACTTCATCACGACAGGATAATAAAGGAGTTATCAAACCTGATGAATGATCTCTGGCGTGATGTTAAACGTCACCGTGTTCGTCTGAAGGAAAGAATGTGATGCTTTGGAAACACATTAAACTTCAGAAAGAGCCCATACCCGGCCATCGGCCATCGGACGGATATCAGCAAGCATTGTGCTTGCCATCCCAGTCCTCATTTTGTGATTATCTCCCGTCTTCTGCACTCCACAGATAGAAGCTGAATTATTGATTAATCTACGAGAAAAACTCTGAAGTACCTTTCTGGAAGCCCAGAAATCATGCTCGGAAAGAATCTGGTTCATGACGAGGTTTTGATGAAGCCTTTGCAGCTCACTGGCACACGCGTAAAGCAGCTTTAAAGCAAAAGCAGCGAAGGAAGAGAGCCTGCCTGTCTCCTTGCAAAAGTTTTATTCGCCGCTCCATTTCAGTCTGATTGAGGCTTTCGTTTTGTCCCGGAGGACGTGCCGATGTAGAAGCCTCGTTAGCTGCCGGCTCGTTGTTAGCAATCGGAGTTGCAGCGTTTGCAAGAAACGGTGCTAGAAAAAAAGAAAAGAAGGAGAAAACCATCAGCTTTGTGAAGGAAGAAGAAACGCACAAGTACCAAGGAAATTGCGAGAAGCATCCCTGTCAACGAAGTTCTCAAACTCAAAAAAGTATTGGACCTGCGTGTAAAGAAGAAAAAACTCCGCGATTGATACGAGCAAAAGCAAACTTACAGACACTCACCGCTGTGGAGTCCGTTAGCAAGTTTAGTATAGCCTTCTTGGATGTAGCTTCTTTGCTAGCTCGTTGGCCTGAAAGACAAAGCGAAAAACAAAGCTAGGAAAAAAAAATCTCAAGTTTTTAGTTACCTCTGAGGGACCTGTAATCGACATTCAACGCCTTCGCAGCATTTGGAATGTTGGGAGTCCATTTGAAGCCACTGGGAGTCTGTAGTGCGCATCCACATGAGAATCCATCGCCAAAATCTCAATGCACGCAAGCAAACCATCGTGAGGATGCCAGGAACTCCATCGGATTTGGGATTGGGGAGCGATTTGGCTCTCCACGACGCGCTCGCCCCCGCCATGAAAGAGCCTAAACCCTAGCCCTAGAAAACAGAGCACCTAATATTTTAAGGGCGGAGAAGCTCCAAGGCTGCCCAGGATCTTCCATGATTTTGGAGAATGCGCTATGCGAGAGATTGAAGATTCTTGTGTAGGCTGTGGCGATTCACGCGCGTTGGCGATCCATTAAGCTTAAATGAGATGAATAAAAGTGCTGCGCGGCAATGTAGGGTTGTGTCACGCCCAGGCTTCCATAGCACAGTGGTAGTGCGCTCGCTTAGTAAGCGAAAGGTCACGAGTTCAAATCTCGTTGGAAGCTCCTTGTCTTGCTCTCTCTCTTTTGTCAATTTGACGAAACAGAGCACCGATATTACTCTCTCTAGAATATTTTAGGGCCGGGTGCGCATTTCTCCTGCTCCATCATGCGACGATGTGGTCCGATGGATCCGCGCGAGCTGCCAGGCGCTTCTCCTACCTGTTGCTGCAAGACGGTGAGCACTACATCCAGGACTGGATCGCGACGTGCAAGCCGCCCAGCGCGCCCCGGTTGCGGCTGCACTCGTCGTCCTGGCAGCAGAATTGGATCAAGGGCCGCCTCCGGCTCTGCTCCAAATCGATCTTCTTTGAGCCAGATGCCGCCTCCATCCCGATTTTGATGCTTCCGCTCAACAAGGTGAGTAGGATCGAGCAATTAGCGGATAGGCCGGAGCTGGAAATGAAAGGAAACAGGGGATTTATGGTGGAAGTTTCACTGCTCGTGACGATGAAGAAGAATGGGGTCGATGCTCCTTATGAGTTTGACAAGTCGGAAGGGACATGGTGGTTTATTCTGGATTTTGCTCCAGTCCAGCAGGTATAATTCATGGTTTTTTTCTGCGACTTACAAGAATTTTATTGCGCTCACAGTTTCTTCACCAAGCACAATCGCTCTTGTCTGTGAATTCACTTCCACCTCCTGAAAGAGATATGATTTTGCGCAACACTGCTGCTCAGAAGGAAGCGCAAGCTCATTTTGATATCAGTCGCTTGGAGGATTATAACGAGGAGATTCTTTTCAACTTTCCCGCAGCACAGGCAAGCTTACAATTCCCAACGTCTCAACAAAAAACTAGAATTTTGGCTACAGGTAACTCCTTTAGTGAGGGAGCCAGGTCGTCTGGTGTTTACACCAAATCGGTTATACTTTCAGGTTTGTTTTTCTTCTTATTTATTTGTCTCGCTTATAAGGGTCTTGTTTACACCAGCCTTTACACAACTTAAACAACGATACACCAGTACGCTCTCAGAAGTTGAGCTTTATAATTGCAGTTGCAAAACGGCGTCATTCCTTGCAACACATTGGACTGGAAATATTTTTCAAGGATGTGAACATGTTTACAAGACAAACATCAGTAGGAGGATTTGTCGACGGTGGCACAGCTTTTTTCACGTTTCTAAGTGTTCAAGATCGAGATAATGCAAGAGACCTGCTTGTTGACAAGCTAAAGGTGATTTTCTTAACTGTTCTCCCTCCCTCACAGTGACGTTCGGCATCTAGTTCCATCTCCACGTCCCATGTTCTCATTTGCCATTCTGACCAGGCTCACCATCGACCAGGGCCAAACATCCAGCATCGGTTCACTTTTGGATAAAGGCAGTTCATGGCTTGATCGCGTCACAGCAGCATGGCAGGTAAGCTAGATTTCTGTAAGGGTGTTTTCAGTTAACAGATTTTGTAGGCAGGACATATCTCTAATTACGACTACTTGATGTACCTCAACTTGGTTGCGGGAAGGACGCGTTGTGATCTAGCACAATGGCCAGTAATGCCCTGGGTGTTAAAAGATTACGAAAGCACCACCTTAAACCTGAAAGATCCCGCGTCCTTTCGTGATCTCAGCAAGGTAATGGTGCTTTCATAAATTTCCTGTTGGAACTATGTTTTCATGGTTTTTCTTGCAGCCTATTGGAGCTTTAAATCCTTCAAGGTTGGCTATTTTTCATGAGCGATTCCAACAGGTAGGGAAGTTTGTGTTTAATTGCGCCTCAGTTTTATTGTTTAGATGCCATGTAAGGATGTCTCACATCCACCATTCCTCTATGGAACACACTACTCTGCACCTGGGTAAGCTGTCAGTTGTTACTTGTGCTTGTCTCACCTTTACGTCTTGTGTCAGCTATGTTCTATATTGGCTGGTCCGTGTGGCCCCTGCTCATATGCTACGTCTCCAAGTAGCCAAGCATTTCTGAATTCTACAGGTCTTAACTCCTTTTTCCTTGCAGAATGGACGCTTTGATACACCAGATAGACTTTTCTTTAGCATTGGAGAGTCATGGCAGAGCGTATTGACAAATCACGCCGATGTGAAGGAACTAATTCCAGAATTTTACGGGCTACCGTCCGGCTTTCTGGTTACAAGGTAATCTCGTTATAGCCTCACTTTTAAATCTTCTGTAGTTCGTATGAACAGGAATGACGTAAACCTTGGTGTTCGTCAAAATGGTGTACCTGTTGGGGACGTCACATTGCCTCCATGGTAATTACAAGACTTGAAATTTGAGATTGTTTTATTCTTTGTGCGTTGTAGGGCAAAAGATCCTGATGACTTCCTAATTAAAAACCGAAGAGCATTGGAATGCAAGCACGTCTCGATGAACATTCAAGAATGGATTGACTTGATTTTTGGATATAAACAACAAGGCGAGGTAAGAAACTAAGTGGTTCTTCTAGTGGTAAGCTTCATGTTTGCAGGCAGCACTTGCAGCAGATAATGTGTTCCATTATCTTACTTATGAGGGGGCTGTGGATCTGGATAAAATAGAAGATCCTTTTGAACGCATGAGCTTCGAAGCCCAGGTACTTCATATAGTTGTGAACGTGGATAACAGTGATTTGACCAGATAAATGAATTCGGTCAAGCACCACAGCAACTCTTCACCGGTCCTCATCCATCTCGATCTGCAGTAGAAACGTCCGTGGACTTTGAGGAGCACAGGCAAGCTATGGTCGAGAGTGGCACGGGTAGCCTGTGTGCTGCGATATTGTCTCGAATTATGTCCAAGACGGCAGCTTTCGAGGGTGGTGCTACGGAAGAAATGCGAGTAGCTGAAGCGGCATTATCGCACACAATTTCTGTTGGCATCCCAGAGTCAGTGAAGCAAGACTCGGGCTCAGACACGGAAGAAGATGACATTCTATCGGCAAAAATCGAGTTTAAACGAGAGGCAGAGGCAAGCACTTTCCATCAGTCGGCATGGTCTAGCACACCAAAGACGCCTGCATGGTTACCAACGCCACACACACCTCAGCTAGACGCAAACCTGTTTCGACGGAGTAAAAGTCCAAACTTTATGCTGTCTCCACGGATGGAGTGTCGTGAGCAACCTTGGACGCTTAAAAAACTAACCGACTCACAACAGCCATGGAGGGTTCATCGCGAGCCTGTCAACGCCGTCCTTGTTTCCGATGACAACGCCTCGGAGTCTAGCACTCTTTATTCGGCTTCAAAAGATGGACTGATCAAGGTACTTGAGTGTTGTCAAGATGACCGTTTGTACTGTTGAAAGAACCTTTCTACAGGTGTATTCCCTCTCTGAAGGCTTTCAAGTTCGTGCCACAAAGCTTGGAAATCTACCGATTTCTTCTCTTGCTTTAGCTACAAGCAACGATGCTTATCCTGTAAGTGTGCAAGTTTCTCTTTGTCTCAAATTGATCTCGCTCCTGCAGACTGTACTTGCTGGCTCTTATGACAATTGTGTCTATGCTTATTCTGTAGACTATGGAAGGTCTTTAGGCAAGGTAAGCGAGCCGTGAATGTTTTCTGGTTTTAGCTGTAAAACCGATATAGGTCCGCGTCCACGATGATTCCGTGTCTTGCCTTCGGGTGAGTAACTCGAAAATGGTCACGGGCTCGTGGGATGCAACAGTAAAAGTATGGACGCTGGATGAAGGGAGAGGTGGATGGGTACATAATTCTGGAGCATCCAACACACGTAAGTAATTTGCTAGTAAGCTCCAAGCAAGCGTTCGATTTTCTAGCTATTGTTGTAGCGGAGATTGAACTAACTGAACACGAAGCTGGCATTTGGAGCTTGGATGTGGATTCCACAGGAGTTGTCGTAGCGTCCGGTGCTGAGGATGGTATGTTTCTTTACGTTCTTGGCAGTTTGTAGAACTTGGTATCCATCAGGGACTGTGATTCTTTGGGACATAAGAAGCAACGGCATTCCGATATGGACATCAAATGACTTGGCTGGCTCTGCGTCTTCGATGCGTATGTCTAGTGACGGCCACAAGTTAATTGTTGTCTCAACATCTGGTTTTATCTACGCAATGGAGGTAAGCGGCTGGGTGGGCCATCTAAGAACTTATCCGTTCGAATTTTCAGCTGAGGCGGGGAGGCTCCATACTATCCCAGAAGAACTGCGAGACTCCTTTAAGATCGTGTGAAGTTATAGGCGACGTGGCTCTTGCTGGAAGGTGAGAAGTTGTCATTCAATATCTGTCTGATTAGTCGCGGTTGGTGTAGCTTCAGCGGTGAGCTGCTTTTCTGGTCCTGGGACAATGACGCTGCCACTTTTCAAAATCTACGCAATCATTCGGAGGCAGTCACCAGCATTGGTGTTGGAAGAAGGCACGGCATGGCTGCTAGCGTTGCGACAGCGTCTGAAGACTGTATGATACAGGTCTACAGCATCGATCGAAGTATGTAACATTTTACTGCCCTCATTCTTTCTTTTCTCTTGTTCTTTTTCATTTCTTCTCGAGTCTCGTCCGTGTCTGTCTTGTTGATTCTATGCTGTGCATAGTAGACGTGTTCTAGATTCAGCAACTAGGAGGTAGGGGGCTTCTTCATGCTATTTTGCGGTCCTCGGCATCCTAGAAACTCATGACCTAGTAGCTAGGCAGCTGTTCAAACACCACCAGCATCTTGACTGACGGTACCGCCGGATGACTTTTGGTTTTCCGCGCGTCCTTCTTCCAAGTCTCTGCCTTTTTCTTCCTTTCCACTTTTCATGGTACCAGCGTCTTACTGGTTCCAGTTTGTTCGTATGCATGCTTAAGGATGTCGCTGTAAGCTTTCCCAGAGCTTGTGTGTTTGTTTGAGCTCGGCTATCCTGGTCAGTCTTGTACTAGGGACGTGTAATGTGTTGCTTAAAGTGCTGGCCCTGGAAATTGAGTGCGTCAATGTGCAGTGCTGCTGCAAAGCGCAGCAGCGCTCCTTTACTTTGGACGTAACTGTTTAGCTGCTTTGGCTGGCTGCCTGGCTCCCCTGACTCAAAACCATTGATGTCGATATAACAATCATTTTGGCTGCTTGCTTCCGGCTTGTTTCTGATGTCCACACCTGAGCTGGTTTTGTTCTTGGCCTTGCTATCTCTTTTCCTTCTTTTTCGCTCTTTTTTTTGTGGATATTTACTGGCTTTGGATTTGTGCATCTTCTCGCTTGGCTCTGTAGATGCCTGTTGCCTGGGCTGCCTGGCTGCGTGCTGCGAGTAAAAGCCGTTTAAACACACCGTTCAAGGTATGGACAAAGTGAAAGGTTCGGACAGGAAGAAGGCCCGTTTTCAACTTGGATGGAATTGAAGGGGGTGGACAAGTGGTGGTGGTGGCAAGCTCACGCACAGGCACAGCCAGCTGAAACTTTTTCTCGACAGCGAAATGGCTGCAGTGCAGTGAGGAGCCCAGACAGACGTCAGTCGAACAAGATGGCCACTTAACGTGTTTTTGAAGCTCCGGCCAGAGAGGGAATGAATAGAAGTTCAGGATCATTCAAGTGGGGATTAAATTGGGCCAAGCTCAAGGGAGGACTCAATCCCATCTGTGGCGTTTAAATCTTGCCAGGATTCCAGCAGTAGATTTGAAGAAATTTGCACATGGCTCAACATTTAATTCCACTATCACAGTAAGAATATCATCCAAAAACAAGATCATGTCCATCAAGAAGAGAAAGAACACACAATGCAAATAAGCACGGAGAAAGAGTCAGCTATCTGTCTATCATTGTCAAGCAGCAAACACAGCTTTGCTACTAACTGATGATGGGTTGATTCTCTTTTCGTTTTGAGCGTTTGCTGTTACCATAAGTGATGATGCATTGATTCTAGAAGACTTACATCATGGAGAGGAGAATCTACTTTTTTTTCTCTCCTCATTTTGCCAAATGGCACACTTGGTTTCAAACAATGAATATGGTTATGCTCTAGCAACAGAAAAAAACAAATCACTTTAGACAACACCATGATTCTGGTTCACTATTTTCATGTGCCAGCCAGTTTCCACAGTTTCAAACCTCATGAACAGGAGCTCCCATTGACTTGGTTCCCACTTATTTCTCCTGCTGCATGAACAGGAGCTCCCATTGACTTAGTTCCCACTTATTTCTCTTGCTGCATTGACAAAAAATCATAGACAAGCAGCTTGTTTATGAGATCTTGTGACAAGGGAACAACACCCCCTAATTGTTCTTTGACCCAGCTTCTTCAACTCCTGTCATTATGAACCATATATTAACCCAAGAAGCTAAAGAGAAGAGATGGCCAGTCAGCAAAAATCTGGAGTCCATGATTTGGATCCACTTCAATCATACTAGGCATATACACCTCCAGAAAGATTATCATTCACTTTCACTCAATAATAACATTTTTAATAATAATTTTAATAATTATGTTTTGATAATGATAATAGTCTCTTACAACGGGAAAAAGAAAAAGAAAAAACTTAACCACACTTGTAAATTACAACAAAGCAAGGAAGCACAGCCCTGGGATTAAACACCACCAAGCTCCCACCGTCGGATCCAATCCCGCCCACCACCGAATCGTAGCCGTTGGGGCAGCCCGAGATCTCCCCTATGCCGTTCGTCGAGCAAGACGTCCGGTAGCTCCTCCCGGCGATCACCCGGCAGACGACCATCGCCCTCTTGCCCGCATTGCCACCGAAGCTCTCCTCCACATGAGCGCTACTGCTCGTGGCGGTCGTGCAAATCCCCTTGGTGTTCTTGGAGACGAAGCCCGAGCGGATGATCCGGCATATGGAACAGTGCGCGAGGCTGCAGACGCTGCTGGATCCGTGCGCTCCCAGCGGGCACGCGACGCTGGATCCGTAGAAGCGCAAGAGCTCGTTGCCGTCGGCGATGCAGCGCGCGTTCTTGCGGGCCATGCAATTGGCGCGGAGCTTCACGCTGTCGCGGTAGTCCTCGAATCGCGCGAGCGTGCGCTGGGAGTTGTGGACCTTGAGCACGCGCTCGATGCGGCCGATGGAGCTGTTGCTCGAGATCCAGCTGCTGCGGAAGATGATCTCGATGATGTTGCGCGAGGAATCGCCGCGCCCCAGCTCCGACACTGAAGAACACAAAGAATTAGAATGATCATGGAAACGGTCGATCAAAGAGAGAATATTTTGCGACGATCAAGAACACATCGATCGCGGGAGAAGGAAAGATATCGCGAGAATATTGAGTCGATCAAAGAGAGGAAGAGATCGAAATGGAAAAGAGAAGAGCAAGATTATACATACCTGCATGCTGGATGGTGTGATGGTGCTCGAGAGCATCGATCTTGGTGAAGCAATCCCCGCATTTCTGGCAGCTGATATGCGGGAGATTGCAATTCCGAGCGATCATGCTCGCCGCGGAGGCCACGGACGACGAATCCTTGCACGACGCCACCATGGAATCCATGGTGTCGAGCACATTGCAGCCATTACAAGAGCCCCCAAATCTCTTGCGCGACACCACGAGCACCTGGCGATGGTTGCCGGAGCTCGAGCTCGATGACGAGGAGGTGGAGGATGGTAGCAGCAAAGGGGCATCGCCGCAAGGGGACGCGCTGTTGTAGTGGTGATTATCGTGATCTTCCAGGAACAGGGCATCTTGCGAGACCTCGTTGAGAAAATCCGCCGAGTCTTTGATCGATTGTGGACTCCCCGACGACGACGCCCTGTGGATCACCCTGGTGTTGCCGTGCACGATGTCCTTGAGATTGGAGCAGTTGCACGACGATCGACTGATCAGGGACGAGGAATGCTGAGGCTGCGCGGAAGATTTGGTACCGGGGTTCTTGCCCTTGGCGTGGAATGGAACTGGATTGACCACCGGCGACGCCAGCGCTGGCTGGATCCTGGAAGAATGCCGCTGGTGCTTGGGATCGTAGACCACATCCTTGGTGTCGGATTTGCACGAGAGCGTTCTTGTCCAAGAAAGCCATGGCCCCGGCATCGCCGCTGCCGCTGCCGCCCTGGCGATCGATCAAGAACGCTACAAACCCCGGAATATTTCGAAATTTCGCCCTGGGAGAGAGAGAGAGAGAGAGAGGAGAGAATTTCGAAAGTAGATCGAGCGCGCGATGATCCGAATGGGACAATGCTGGCTGCTACGCGCTCCACTGGAGGGATTGTTTGCGCTCCATTGAATTCCACATGCCTGCTGCCCTGGCCAGTGATCGTAGCTAGCAACGAAACAAAACGCGAAGGAGCGCGCTTGCAAGGGCGCGATTTATGAGGAGAAAGAGATAGTAGTAGTTCGCTCGCGCAAGACGACGACGACAATGCGATACACAAGAGGGAGAGAGAGAGAGAGATTTTAAACTTGGCTCACGCCCTAAACTAAACCACGAGGAGATCACGGGCTCGATTCCACCGGTCTAAACTATTCCCAGGAAATTGCGCGGTCAAACCGTGCGTACAGCCGGAGCAATGGGCAAACAAAACAAAACCATGCGCGCATTGGGGCGAACCACGCGCTTCCGCGATTGGATTTCAATATAAGCTTCTCGCGATTAGCATCGTTTGTAAGCTTCTCTAATCGTGGTTTGTGTGCGTGATATGTTACCACCATCGTCTTCAAGTTGTCCACGTTTAGCTTTGCGCGAGCGAGCGAAACCTCTGCTAGAAAGAATGGAGGCTTCTACCTCCTGTTTTGCCATGTCCTTCCTGCTTTGCCATGTTTGCTGGCTGGACGATTGATGGAGCCTTGTTTCTTCCTTCCTCGAAAAGGATAAGCTTTTCCTTCCGTTTGAAAGATGGATCTGCCGTCGTGATAGTACTTCGCTGGCAAAATCTCTTAACTGATTGATGTGTTTTGCGCAGGGGAGAGCGAACCTTGTCTGGAGCTGAACTGAGGAGTGATGTGATCATCCCATACGTGGGAGTTTCTCGAGGGGAGTGGCAATTCTCTGCAGTAGCGGTAGTAAAAGCTGTGAGAAACCCGGAGGACTACTTATCCAAAAGAAAAATCGCACCTTTCTTTTTTCTCAAGTTCTTCAATGCATCCTGCAGTACAAGGTTAAAATGTGAGAACACTTGGCTACTCGAATAGAAATCTTACATCTTGGTCTCTTGTTCTTGAATTACGAGTTTCTGCAGTATAAGTGGTGAGCACTTGACTAGAGATGAAGTAAAAGCTTACCATTTTTCTTTCTAGTTCCATGGTAGCCTCCGGGATATCACGCTGCTGCCGCAGTACGTAAACAAGTTGGCAATCTCGGGACAACCTGCTGGATACGGGATGAGCCTCGCAAAAGGATCGCGCTTGATCCGCTTCTCACGAAGTTGTCCAATGCATCCATACGGGTCTTTCCTAAACTGTTCTTGTACAAAAAGCTCTCCTCTCGCAGCCGCGGCCGCTGTAGAAATCGCTGGAAGCGTTCCGAGGTATGCAAATCTCTCACGAGGGAACTTCAAAGCTGAACGATGCAGGGCCACGAATCTGTGCTGCTTGAAATGGTAGCTCACAACCTGGAACACAAGAGATATGAAAACAATCACGTCCAAAAAAGAGCTCTTACAGTTATATTTTGTGGATACTGTCCAGTGAGTTCTCTAAACCGGCAAATGCTGAAGAGCAAATTCTCGAAACTATCCCTTGCGTACTCTTCTGTGACTGCTCGATCACGAACGCTGGAAGAATGCCCTGCGAAAAGAAAAGAAAAACTTTAAGAACAATCGACCATAGCTAATCAACCAGCGAGAAAAAAGATGGAACATACCGAACCAGTCATTCGCGTCCGCCACACTCCAGTAGCTCTGAGCTTCACTCCTAGGCCCAGCTTCTTTCCTCGTCTCTCCTCCGCTGAAAAGAAGTAGCGATTGATTGTCTCTAGACGCCGCCTCCACACCTCGATGGATGTGCTCTAGAAACGTAGCAGCCTGTCCAGAGTTTCTCTGATAAGGCTCCAAGAACCAAGAGCTCTCCTCGTTTGCCTTGGCACAAATCCTACTCGTGTAGACAGCATGCCCAGCGACCATCACTAGGCTCGTCAATCCAGCAAATGGATGGTTTTCCATCGCTGGATCGCGAGAATAAGGCAGCAGGATGCCTCCATTCTCCCCTAGATACACCATCAGCAGCAAGATCGAGCCCAGCAGCAGGAAAATCCCCAGCAATCTCGACGGATCCGGCTTGAAATACCTGTGGATCTTGCGGCTCAAGTAGCGCAGCATCGCGCCCCGGCCGGTGAGAGATCTTCTCCTCCGCCCGCCCTCTAGATCCGACTCACCTTCGTCGGAGTCGCAGTCATCCGCGTAAGAGAGCAAGCGCATTCCTCGATCGCGCTCTCTTTCTCCGCATCAAATTCTCCACACCTAGGGTTTTAGGGAAGAACCCTAGTTCTTCTTCTTCCTCCCGGCGATGATCCTGTGCGTGGCGATTGTGGGGCAGCAGGTATGCGTGATCCTTGAAAATGTGAGTGGAATTCACCTTCTGGATCGATAGAACAATCCGCTCTACCTCCAAAGCTTCGCGGGAGGAGACGATGTGCTCAAATTCCACTACATTGTCCACTGCTCGCTGGACGTCTTCGATGAAAAAGGTCTGGTTCTTCATTTCTTCTTTCCTTTCTAGATCTTTCTTCAAGAACTTTCTCTCCAGCGAGTATTTTGCGAAGAACTGGCACGAATCTCAATGACAATTTCTTGGGACTCTTGTATCCAGCCGAGGACTACAAAGTGTGAGTTCTTCCCCCTTTTTGTCAATTCCTTTTTTCACTCGACCTTGGATCACTCGCAGCTATGGCTACATGACCAACACAAGAGTGAAATTCGTGCTTGTTACCTCGGATTTGGAGCTCAAAGATCTCGACATCAAGACTGTAAGCTTCGATTTTGCTTCCAGATTTTTACAGTTTTTTCCAGTTTTTCCAGCGATTTCACGCTGCGTACATTGACGTAACTTCAAATCCATTCCACGTTCCAGGCAAGAGAATTGCGTCGCCAATGTTTCGCGATCGAGTGAAAACTATTGTGAGCTCGTTTGGACAATTGTAATTCCAAGATGACCTAGAATGGACGGCTGAGATTTGAAGTTCTAAAAAAAGTTAGCAAGTTAAGGCAATTAGGGTTCTAGGAGGGCGGCTAGGGTTTTGAGAGGAGGAGCGCGATGGTGGCGCTTACGCTCCAGAAGCGGCTGGCGGCGTCGGTTCTCAAGTGCGGGCAGAAGAAGGTGTGGCTCGATCCCAATGAAGTCAACGAGATCTCCATGGCGAATTCCAGTAAGTTTGCGGTACCTCATTTCTAGATCTAGTCTCCTCACGCTGGAAATTTCTGTGTCTCGCAGGGCAGAACATCCGGAAGCTCGTCAAGGATGGGCTCATAATCAAGAAGCCCCAGAAGATTCACTCTCGCGCTCGCGCTCGCCGCGAGCTGGAGGCCAAGAGGAAGGGTCGCCACTCCGGCAAAGGTGGGTTCTTTTAGCTCGTACTGGATTTGTTCGATCTGATCTAGTTTTCCTTCATCGAATTTGTTCTTTGTTTTTTTATGTTTGAGTTCTTTTTTGATTGAGTCTTGGTTGTTTCTTTTGACTTCTTGGATGTTTTGATTGGTTATCACTCTGATCGATTGCTGGCCTGGTTCTTAGTTGATCTGGATTTTGTTTTCTTGTCTTGTTGATTTATTCTTAGTTTTGTCACTTTGATCGATTGCTGGTTTTCTCGGGTTCTTAGTTGATCTGGTTTTTCTTTTTCCACTTCTTTGATCCTCTTGGTTCGATGATTATTTCTCGTTTTATCCAACTTTTCTCTGGATTTTCTCTTGACTGACGCTGGTTTTCAGGTAAGAGACACGGTACTCGCGAAGCCCGGCTTCCATCCAAGATCGTCTGGCTCCGGAGGATGCGTGTTCTTCGCCGTCTCCTTCGCAAGTACCGCGACGCTAAGAAGATCGACAAGCATATGTACCACAGCATGTACATGAAGGTCAAGGGTAACGTTTTCAAGAATAAGCGCGTCCTCATGGAGAACATTCACAAGTTCAAGGCCGAGAAAGCTCGCGAGAAGACTCTCACCGATCAATTCGAGGCCAGGCGCGCCAAGAACAAGGCGACGCGGGAGAGGAAGATCGCTCGCCGGGAAGAACGATTGGCACAGAAGTAGAGTTCCTTCATCACTATCAACATGTAAGTTTTTTCGTTGATCTTTCTTTGCAATTTTGCTCACTCTTTTGAGCTCTCTAGGAACACTGAGCTTGTGATGTTTTGTTCTCGAATGGAATCGTATTATGACTATAGTTTGTACCTTCTCGAAGAATACAAACAATTCGATAAACTATGATGTTCCAAGGCTGTTCCTTCTCTTGGATTCGAAGATATTCGCTTTCAGAAGAGAGGATATTCGCATAAGTTCCACCGTCGATGACCCTTTAGATTCCGCTCACATCTGGGCCGCTGGCTCTGGGCTTAGCCGACGGTGGGCGATTGAACCACGTTTTTAGGACGTATTAAGCAGTGCTCGCTCGTGAGTCCGTGTTGTTGGGAAGCGCAAGGGTCGTTGCCGAGCCGACGCCGACGCGCGTCCAAGCATGGATCTGAGCGATGGATCTGCGCTAGCCGGCGGCAGATGATCGCCAGGAATTCCGTGGCGCCGCGGCGTGGATCGCCGCCTGTGAATTGCGCCAGGGGAATTCTAGGGTTCTTGGAGCGGGATCGCTCTCCCGGAGGTAAGTCGGGCGAGGAATCCGGATTCCTTGCTCAATGTGGATTGCGTCGTGGTGCAGATTTCGGTGCTGGAAATTCCGTGCGTGATTGATGATCTCGTGCTGCGTCGCCCCCGCGGAGAAGAAGGCGGCCTGCTCAATGGCGAAGCCGATGCCCGGGCAAGGTACTCCATCCAGAGTCAATGGCACGCAATTCAAGCCACCGCCGCCGATTCTCACGGATCCCAGCAGCTCCTCGTCATCGAAATTCTCCGAGCAGTCGCCTCTTGTAGCTCATTCCGGGGAGCTCAAGCATCTAAAGCTACCTCCATCGGGCGAGCTCTCGAGAGCCCCATCCCGAGCTCCATCCGTGAGCGTGGAAGTGAACGAGATGATCGAGGGGAGGAGCAGCGCCGCGAATCCCAACGTGGCTGGAGTTCTCCACAAGTGGGTCAACTTTGGGAAGCGGTGGAGGTCGCGATGGTTCGTACTTCACGATGGTGTTCTCTCGTACTACAAGGTTCACGGACCTGATAAGCTTTACGTCAACCAGGAGCTCCAGAAAGGTGTGCGTGTGATTGGAGACGAGGCACAGAAACTCATGAGAAAGCCCAGGAAGCACTGGAACGAGAAGAGACCGAGAAAAACTTCTGGTGATGTTCATCTAATGGTACGTGTTTCTTTCTTCTTTCCACGATAGACTTGTTCTTTATTTTCTCCCTCCAGGTGGCGTCCATTCGTAAGAGCAAATCCGATGACAAGAAGTTCTACATCTTTACCGGAACAAACTCGTTGCATCTGCGAGCAGAATCAAGGGACGACAGAGCTACTTGGCTAGAGGCACTGCAGGCTGGAAAAGATCTTCTTCCGAAGATAATTTGCCTCCAACCGCACGAAGAAGACTCCATCTCGACGGACGGATTAAGGAAAAGGCTAATCGAAGCGGGCGTCAGCCAGGGAGTCATCAAGGACTGCGAGAACATAATTTTGACGGAGTTTAGGGAGAAAGTAACGCCACTTCAGCAGAGGTACCTGTTTTTGATGAACAGGTTGAATCAGCTAGAGGTGGTACTCCTTTTCATCCCCTAGATCGTGCTTATGCTTTTTGTCTTACTTTTTCCAGGCTGAAAAGGTAGAGCTAGAGACAACAGTAGTGGAGGAGTCTCGGAGTCATGAAGACCAGCCACAGGAGAGAGATCACGGTATGGAAAAACAGCATGTTAACCATGCTTAAGTTTTGTACTTCTGTGTTATTGTAGGCAGTGAATCGGATTCGGAGGAAGACAACGGCAAAATGCTCGATGCGGAAACTGATGACGACGACGACTTATATTTCGACACAGCCGAATCTCTCTCAGGCTCATTTCGGAGTCCATCGTTTCTTCACCGTCAGTTATCAGCTGATCCTTTAGATGGAGAAGACTCGCCTGTACTCAGCACCCCCAGAGCTGTACTTCCTGATCCAGCTATGGAGCTGTTCAGCCAAGACTATCCCATCGTTAACAGACGCAAAAAGCTACCGGATCCAAAGGAGAAGGAGAAGGGATTCAGCCTTTGGTCCATTATCAAAGATAATATTGGGAAGGACCTTACGAAAGTGTGCCTCCCGGTGTATTTCAACGAACCAATCTCCTCGTTGCAGAAGTGTTTCGAGGACCTGGAATACTCTTATCTTCTTGATAGAGCGGCCGTTTGCGGCCAAATGGTAAGCCCGCCTCCTTGTGATTTTCTCTTCTTAAAAGTTCTATTTGCAGGGTAATAGTCTTCTGAGAATTTTGTACGTCGCAGCGTTTGCAGTTTCCGGGTATGCATCCACAGATGGTCGAATATGTAAGCCGTTCAATCCTTTGCTAGGAGAAACGTATGAAGCAGACTATCCTGATAAGGGAGTCAAATTTTTCTCCGAGAAGGTTAGCTAGTCAGCTTTTTTCTCTGCTACTTGATACTGATTTTCTTCGTCTGTACAGGTCAGTCACCATCCAATGGTGGTAGCCTGTCACTGTGAGGGACGTGGATGGAAACTCTGGGGCGACAGCAATCTAAAGAGTAAATTTTGGGGGCGTTCAATCCAGCTGGACCCCGTAGGAATTTTAACCTTGGAATTCGATGACGGAGAAGTTTTTCAATGGTCTAAGGTAGTTCAAACGGCATTTGGATTGGTCTAACACCGTACTTGACAGGTGACCACATCAATTTACAATCTCATACTAGGAAAGCTTTACTGTGATCACTACGGCACAATGCGCATTCAAGGAAACCGCGACATGTCCTGCAAGCTTAAATTCAAGGAGCTGTCTATAATTGATCGTAATCCTCATCAGGTCAGGTATTCTATTTCTCGTTTTAAGATAAAGTGCTGAACCTTTCTTTCCAGATTCATGGCTTTGTCTATAACAAAGCAAATAAGAAGCTGGCAACGCTTTTTGGGAAATGGGACGGGAGCATGTATTACGTGAACGGAGACCTGGCGACGAAGCCGCGAGGTTATGATCCTATGTGCGAAGCGGAACTGCTTTGGGCCCGTAACCTGCCTTCGGATTATCCTACCAGATACAACTTAAGCTCTTTTGCAATAACGGTCAACGAGCTCACACCAGGACTCGAGGTCTTTCAAAGCATTTATTCGCTCAAGTTCTCATGGTAAAACGCGTGCAGGAGAAGCTGCCACCAACAGATTCCCGACTGAGACCTGATCAACGACATTTGGAAAACGGTGAATACGAGCAGGCTAATTCCGAAAAGCTGCGGTTAGAAGGGAAGCAGCGGAGGGTATGTTACGGTTTTTGCATCTTCAAGGGATGCTCATTCTGTGTCCGTGGTAGCAGGCTAGGAAGTTGCAGGAGAGAGGCTGGCAACCTCGATGGTTTCACAAGGACATTGGATCGAGCACTTTTAAGTACATAGGTGGGTACTGGGAAGCAAGGTCACAGGGCGACTGGAGCAACTGTCCCGACATTTTTGGACAAAGCTTGCCCGATGATGGGTCTGACTGAGGCTCGATCCCGAAGGATTCTTCTTCAAATTGATAAAAAGATACGTCAATTTTGTTTCTCATATTTCTCGGGCGCTTGCATGCATGCAGTTTCATCGGCTTCCCATGTTCTTTCGCTCGAAAGTTTTAACATTTGCGTGTCTGTTTCTTAGCCGTTGATGGTAGATGGTTTCAGATGAATGGCCGGTATTATAAGTTTCGTGTTCAGACGACGCCATCCCTTCGTCTCTGCATGACCGCGGATCTAAACGAGGTAGCATTGCTAATTTTATTTCGTGGCATTGAAAAGCTTTTCTGCGACAGCAAGCAGGCTCCCAAAAAGTGATCGCTCGCAGGAGAAGAATCGAGGATTGGATTAAATGACTCGGTAACAGAACCGGCAATGGCTTTGTTGGCTGTTTTGATCGTCCTGTTGCTGTGCTCGGTGGATGGCTTCAGTCGACGTATCAACAGCATGCCTGGTGTGTTCGAGTTGACACACAGGTACTCAACAAAGCCGGGTTCAAATAAGAGCACGAATGGAACGGGCATCACGCACGAACATATGCAGCTGCTCAAGGCTCACGATCGGGGACGCATGGTCAAGCTCAAGTCCAGCGCGGTCTCGTTGCCAGTGGAAGGAGTAGCAGATCCATATATTGCTGGGTAAGTAACTGTAATAACTGTCATACGATTTTCTTATGTTTCCACTGCTAACTATAATTTCTGGCAGCCTCTACTTCACTCAAGTGCAGCTGGGAACTCCTCCAAGGACATACAATCTTCAAGTGGACACTGGGAGTGACCTCCTTTGGGTTAATTGTCATCCGTGCATTGGATGTCCTGCTTTCAGTGACCTCAAGGTGAGACGAGAGTATTTGTGAACTTGTGATTGATGAGGCTCTGTGTAGATCCCGATTGTTCCGTATGACGTCAAGGCCTCGGCAAGCAGCTCCAAAGTTCCTTGCTCGGATCCGAGCTGCACCTTGATAACGCAAATCTCGGAGTCCGGCTGCAACGATCAAAACCAGTGTGGCTATTCGTTCCAGTATGGAGATGGAAGCGGGACCCTCGGATACCTCGTGGAAGACGTTTTGCATTACATGGTGAACGCTACTGCAACAGTAATCTTTGGGTTTTGATCTGTATCTCTTGCCTCAATTCTGGCGCTTTCACTTACTGGGAGGTGGTGTTGTAGGTGTGGCTTCAAACAATCTGGCGATCTTTCAACTTCGGAGCGAGCACTAGATGGCATTATTGGATTTGGAGCAAGCGACCTTTCTTTCAACTCACAGCTCGCTAAGCAGGGAAAAACGCCGAACGTTTTTGCTCACTGCTTGGACGGGGGAGAGAGAGGCGGTGGCATCTTGGTTCTCGGTAATGTGATTGAGCCGGACATCCAGTACACGCCGCTGGTTCCATACATGTAAGTTTTTACTCAGTAAGAGTTTCTCTACGTTATTTCTCACGAACCAACTTGCAGGAGCCATTACAATGTCGTGCTACAAAGCATATCCGTCAACAACGCCAACCTCACTATCGATCCCAAGCTCTTCTCCAACGACGTCATGCAAGGGACAATCTTTGACAGCGGCACGACACTGGCCTATCTTCCTGATGAGGCGTACCAAGCGTTTACTCAAGCGGTAAGTCTTGTGGTAGCACCTTTTCTACTTTGTGACACTCGTCTGTCAAGATTGTCGACGCCGCTGCTACTCCGCCCATTGGGGTCACAGGGAACGTATGCTTCGTTGTTCGCGGCAGGCAAGCTAATAGTTTTTATCATTCCGGAGAACTGATGAACTCGCTCGAAAACTTGCAGCATCTATAAGCTGTTTCCAAACGTGGTTTTGTACTTCGAGGGCGCGTCAATGACCTTGACACCAGCGGAGTATCTGATAAGACAAGCTTCTGCGGTATGATGTAGCTTGTCTCTACGTTGCTTAATTGTGTAATTTATTTGTGGAACAGGCCAATGCTCCAATCTGGTGCATGGGATGGCAATCGATGGGATCAGCCGAGAGCGAGCTTCAATACACCATCTTTGGAGGTATTTCTTTTCCTCCTCGGCGATGACTGCAACCTCATTTTCACAGACTTGGTTCTCAAGAACAAGCTCGTTGTGTATGATTTGGAGAGGGGGCGAATTGGATGGCGTCCTTTCGATTGTAAGACCAGTTTCTTTCTCTTGTTTAGACCAGATCTTTGTGACGCATTGCTGCTCCATTTTTTTTCCAGGCTCGTCAACCGTGGACGTCTCCACCGACACGGGGGTGAAATCTTTTGGTGGCAGTGGAACGTTTATTCGTGGCCAAGCTTCTGGCAGTAGTAAACTCGGGCAGAATGTTTTCTTGGCACTCTTGACCATTTTTTGTGTAATTGTATTGTGATTTCAAGTAAAAAAAGACCGCGTTTCCAACTTACTGTCAAATACAAAACGTAGTGGAAAGAAGGAAAGAACAAAAAAAAGAAAAAAAGAAAGAAGAAACACACAAGGATTAAGGCCTGAGAACGAGCCCATCGGGGCCGAGAATGGGCCTCCCTGCTGACAGCAAAAGATTGTCACGAACACCGGCTTCCACATTTCGAGTTTGCTTCACGTACTCGAAAAAATCGGCTACTTGTCGAGCATATCTAGCAAACAAAAAACAAAGAGGAAGAAAAACCACGTTTGTGATCAAAGAAACTATGTGTTTTTTTGCTTACTCTGCTTTGGCCTCCACGTCTTTGCTGAAGTCGATCGAAGCCTCGCAGTCGAGGATCAATGCCGGGACCTGAAAAGAAAGCTTAGAGCTTGCAAACACTTTAGAACTTTTTCTTCTCACCTCCCGGATGGAAGAGTGGACGTGATCGCCTTTGAGGTAGAAGACGCGGTCTTTGATCCTGGGCGGCGGCTGGTGGAGAGTTGGAAGCCACTCTTTGACAGACATGACGCTGTTGGGGGACGGCGTGGTTGGGAACAGCCACTGCTCGTGCTTCTCGTGGAGTCCCTTGAGGTAGTCGAGCGTCACTTTCTGCTCCTCGGGCCTCTTTCGCATCTGGAGCCGCCGAAGGCAAGCGTCTGGACTGGCTCGCAAGTAGATGAATCCGTCGGGAACCAAACCGGGAAGCTCGGCTACCACCGGGTCGAACCACGAGTCGTAGATGCTGATCTCCATCTCGCTCATCCACTTTGCTTCGTGCACGGCACGCACAAACACCTGAGCAAGCGACATACCAGCGTAAGTTACTACATCACGAAGAAACGAAAAACTCTTGGCAGAAGTGAAGAAAAGAACAAAAAGTCTCGTAAAAACACTCATTTCAATCAGTCCAGAAGAAAAACTACGAACTAGAAACCAAGCAATGCAAGAGAGCTCAAACAAAACTTGAGAGCTTACCATCCTGTCGCTGAAGACGCTCCTCTCCATGAGCCTCAAAGGCTTGAGTCCATTCGCGGATTCACGCTCTTGCATCAGCCGAGTGACGAACACGTAGTTCTGAAAAGTGTAGGCGTACCGCGACGGCTCGGCGTAGAAGGCGTCGAGAACATTGAAGTGTTCCTTCCCGACGTCCTGCCACTTCCCAATCGGCTCCGGGACAACTTCCACGAGATCTCGCAGCTCGAAAGTCTCGTTTGCAATCCGCTGGAGGAAGGTGGTCTTTCCAACGCTGATGTTGCCTTCCACACAGAAGGTGAGCCTCTTCTTGGCCTGCGAGGCTTGGCCGCTGCTCTCCAGCTCCTTGTCCACGGCATCCTTGATGAAGGAGGCGATCACATTCGCGTGATTCTTGTGTACTCCCACGGAGGCAACAAGGTATTCCACCAGCTTCTCGGTTCCACCAGTACGAAACTGGAAACAAAGAAAAACGAAGAGTAAGTTTTAAAATGATTGAGAACAAATAGATAGAATCTAGCGAGTCCAGCCCCTTTTAGACCATGCATGGATACGTTTTGATTAACTTCAAGAGATCAAAGCCTCGAGAAAACAAAGAAGCCCAAGGACCAAGAGAGAAATCTACAACTGGAAGCAAACCACAATCTAGCTCTCGGCCTGGTTAACTTAAAAAATCAAAGACAAAGAAGCCTAAGGACCAAATCAATCCAAAAATCTCTCCAAGCCCAGCAAACCAGTAGCTCTCTACTCAAAACCAAGGAAAAGAACTCTAGACAACGCGTACCTTGTCACGATAGAGCTGCTTGAGCTCCACAAGCTTCCCTATTCCCTTGGCGACGAGCTTTTCCATATTCCTAGGCCCAATGCCTTTGACAGTGAGGAGGTCGGGCAGAGGAGCGGCCGCCCTTCGCCTCCTCTCAATCGCCGCCCCCGCCTTGCCGGAGCGCTGGATTTGCTGCCCACTGCTCTCACTGGATTCACTGGATTCCTCCTTGCTGCTGGCGCCATCGCCCACATCCAAATGCTGGCCCTGCGCGGCGGCGATTTGCGAGCAACGGCGCGTCGTGGACAAGAGCGGCGATGCAAAATCCCTAGAAGAGGAACAAGGAGAAGAGGAAGAGACGCTGCGATTGATGCTGCTGCTGCTGGCCTGCGCGAGGGATTTGCGTGGGAGAAAAGCCTGGAACTGGAAGGATTGCGGCGGCGCCGACGATGGGAAGGCAATGCTCGTCGTCGCTTTCATGAGCGCTCGCGCGATCCCTGGCATCGCTCTCGCTCAAAAACCCATGGATTCAAAACCCCCCAAAACCCTAATGCCAGGGTTCTTCCTTTCTACTGACAAGGAGGATAAAATCTATACACACATTCCAGGAGCTTTCAACAATATATATACATGTTTTTGGGGTCATGTAGCAATGGTAGAAAAACTATAGCTACCTAGTAGATCTTAGAACAAACACAAACACTTAATCGATCGTTGAAGAATTCAATAGAAAGCATGAAAACTTTATGTTTGAGGTTTCTCTTTTTTCTAAGCCTTGAGTCTAGCAAAGCTTTGCATTGCATTGGTCTGATCCAGCCATGGTTTTTTACATGCCAGTGCTGGCGTTTGAGATCTTTCTGGTAGCGGGCTGGGCGCTAGTCTTGCTATGGCTCGCTATAATTCAAAGATAGTATTGAGTTCTTCCCCAAAATATTTAGAAATATGGAGCTCTTCCTTAGAAATCTTCTTTATAAATTGCCAAGAACTAACCTCACCAGTGTTTGCTAGAAGAGCTTGTAAATTACCTAGAAGCTGAAATACAAAAATTGCTAGCTCCAGTGACAGAGATCTCGCGAACCAAACCATCATAATCATTCCCTTACACAAAAAATTGTGTGGAGCATCCTCCAAGACTTCTGGAGAAACTCTCTTTCCCTGATCCAGTTCTTCCAGATCTTCCACTCCAATCCCTGGGAGTGTGGAGCTATCCAGAATCAAAGAGCTCACTCACTCACTTCACTTGGTAGAAGGAGTGGCAGTGGCACTCGCCTTCTCACCACCAGCGCCGCCACCCTCCGCCGCCGCCTTCACCCCCACACTGTCCGCCACCAGCGACTCCGGCCGCTGGACAATCACCTCATCGATGAGCCCAAACTCCTTGGCCTCCTCGGGCGACATGAAGTGGTCCCTCTCCATGCTCTGGTCGATCTTCTCGATGCTACTCCCCGTGTGCTTGGCGTAGAGCTTGTTGAGCCGGGATCTCATGTCGAGGATCTCACGCGCCTGGATCGCGATGTCGCTGGCCTGGCCGCTGGCTCCCCCGGATGGCTGGTGCACCATCACCCTCGCATTGGGCAGCGATCGGCGCTGGCCGGGCTCCCCCGCCGCGAGGAGGAGCGATCCCATGGACGCCGCCTGGCCGACGCACAGCGTGCTCACCGGGCTCCGGATGTACTGCATCGTGTCGTAGATCGCGAGCCCGGCAGTGACGACGCCGCCCGGGGAATTGATGTAGAGGTGGATGGGCTTGAGCGGATTCTCGGACTCCAGGTAGAGGAGCTGGGCGACGACGAGCGAGGCGGTGTCGTCGGCGATGGGGCCGTGGATGCAGACGATGCGCTCCTTGAGCAGGCGCGAGAAGATGTCGTAGGCGCGCTCGCCACGGGCGGTGTGCTCGATCACCATTGGGATGAGGCCGTAGAGGCGGCGCTGGTGGTGATCCAGCGCCGGGGGGGAGAGAGCGCACCTCGCGGCGTGACGCCATAGCCGGGACGCCATGAACCCTAACCCTAATGCCCGTACAAAACGGTCAAAAGGGTCAAGCGAAACACAAATTTAATCTAAACCGTTGAATGTATGCTCACCTTCTTTATCTTTTACATAACAAGTTAATTTCAGACATTTACAAAATAAATATATTTGATCTAAGTATAAAAATTATTAAAACAATCTCTAATATCTATATATGTTATACATATACTATATTAGTGGCCACAACACCATCCTATTTGCACTATTCACAGGGTCATTTAATTGGTGATATTAAGTAACTTCTTGTTGATAGTGTGCTTTTGTTCTTGATTTCTTCATATGGAGGTTGGTGGTGAGGATCAAGATCCTAATGGCTTGAGCAACAGCTGGTTTGATGTTTACATAACTTCTAGATGAGGTGTAACAATTGTTATAGCACTTGGTTGCCCCTACATACACATAGTATATACCCAATGTTTGCATCCAATACAGAGGATTAAATTTAGCATATGTAATTTAGCATTTCTGGATGGATATATTATGGATGGGATGACACTTCCTCCTTGTTAGCATTCAAAGGCTTGTTGACAACCATGCAAGAAGGCAACAATAAGATTTGCAAACTATAGTGTTGCATCTCCTTGCAAAAATGAGGTCACCTCTGAAGTTAGGGTGGCAACATGGTGAAATAACAAATTGATTTGGAGGATGAGTAAGATTGTTCTATCATGTTTATAGTTTTATGGAAGCTTTTGTGATAAGACATTTGTCATTATTATTACTCACAGTATGGAGGAAAGCTTTCATTCTCCAATGCTCTGCAGTGTACCTTAAGTCTCTATGGATATTGATCCCACCTCAATTGCATTGCAGTAGCTTCAAATTCTGGTGGCTATGGCAGTCGTGGGGGTTGTAGACATGGGCGTGGGCATGGACACAGTCAAGGAGGAGGCTGTGGGTGTGGACTTTGAGCCATATTATTACAATTGTTAGGGTTGAGGATATCATTGTTAAGCTATTGTATCTCAAAACAACAATAGTAATGTTGAAATGCTTCATGTTAATCATTTCTATAACTAATAAATTCCAATAAACATACCTTATTCTTCTCCTCTTGCATGCATGGATAACAAGATGTCTCTTATTACCACTCTCTTTCCCAACTTATAATAAGGAGTTGATGGAGAACAAATGATTAATATTCTCTAGTCTTATTTATGATACCAAGGTGATGGTCTTAAGATTGGTGGATCTTAGCTTTATCTCTTTTGTCTTGCATTTTATGATCTGTAATTTGGAATTACAAGAGGTCTTGTGTTCTCAACCTTTGTGAATTGTTTTTGTTAATTAAAAGTCTTTAGTCTGGTTGTTGTGTATAGTATATGTACCTTTGCAACTTAGGAAATATATGCACACTCTTTTGTTACATTAGATTTATAATATCATTTTGGGTGTCAATTTGTTGTGCACTACTAGAGTTCAATTATGACTTTGAGAAGAACCTCCTCACTATTCCAGGGCATCCTTCCCTTATTATTATTAATTGTGTTCATTGAAACTCTATGATTGTTGTTGAAGATCTTCAAACTCTTAGATTCTCTCTTGCAAAATGGGGTTATAATGTAAAGAAATTTCATGCTCATTTCCCAAAACTATTTGGTCCCATTAATTAGACTAGTCTAATATGTGAACTTGGCATAATATTCCTACTTTAAATATGCATTTTAATTAGAAGCAATCAAAGAAAATAGTTTGAGAATATAAAAGGAAAGGGTATATAAATAAAAGTGCTCCCCTTTTTTCAAGCTTTGGAATATATGAAATTAAGCGTCCTTGAGTTTGAGTAACATAAGTCCATAAATTGTGAAGCAAATGAATAAATATGTGACAAAGATGTGATAAAAATGCTTGACTTAGGAGTTATTTGTAAGTAGCATAGTCTATAGATGCTTTATTTCATTAAAGTGGAACTTATTCAGTAAAGTGGGACATTAATTAGCATGTGTCCACATGCCATTTCCTAGTACTTAATTAATATTTATTAATATTTCTATTAGTTTTTTAATTTATTTTTTATATTTCACAATATTATAACACAAAATCATATGAAAAGTTTTTAATTTATAAATTATAAAGCTAAAACTTCAATTTTTTATTGTTGTTATAAAAATGGCATGTGGCCACACACCATAAGTGGGATAATGAAAAGTTCCACTTTAACGAAATAAAGCATATAGACTACTCGGCTACACCTGCCTTTGAATAATATCATAGTGGTAACTCTTATCCATTCTTGCAGGTTGATAATTTAATGAAACAATTGATATTTCACAATATAGGAATTAACATATATCTATGAATCCTATTAATGTGGTAAAGACAAGATTTTAAATTCTAAAGAGTTTGTGTAAATTCCACTAATGCTATATAGATTGATGGGAGCACTTGCAACATTTTAAGAGATGATTGATGACTTATCAAAAAGCTTTGAGGAGTTTCTATGAGCCTATCTAGATTATTTATTGATATAAATTGATGGCATATAGCAGGGTTGTTTGCAACATGTCAAATGGGTGTTTTAATAGCTTGAGAAGCACTTTCTAAAATTAAAACACTTGTATCAAAAATTTCAAATAGCATACTAATCAATTTATGAAAGATAACTCAAAGAATATAAAGTATTATCAATTAAAATTAAACAAGAAAAATACTTGCAAATGTATCATTTGAAGGAAATAACATCTCAATCTATCAAAACAAAAATTAACAACAACCAACAGAATATATGAGCATCACAAGGGCCAATAAACACTCATTTATGCTAAATATTGCATTAACCAATTTAAATAGATTCCAGTCAATAATAAAAAATAATTTGAGTTATTTAAGTAAGCATTAGCAATATCCTACCAATATTTCAACCAAGAAAACCAATTTAAAACAAACCACAAAGAATATTAAATATATAAAAAGCTAAAACCCATCAAAGAAAATGATTAACTATCACTAAAGATCATCAATAACCCTATCAAAAGAGATGCATAATCATTATTGATAAAAAATCCACTATCCTATAGAATAACAAATTAGCTATCACTAATAATAATTAAACATAACTTTTAACAATGATAATCAATTATTATAAACAACAATCAATTATTACCATTAATTGCTAGTGTAAATCCCTAAATTTTAACTTCATGGAAGGTCATCCAACCCAATATTATCAAACCTAAGAACACTTCACCCCAAATATCCCAAAACTTTTAACCGATTGGAAAAGAGGGTGTATTCTTTTTCCTTCTATATTTAAATTTAATAAATTGTTTCTCAAGTTTTTTTCTTTAGCTGCTTAAAGCTAGATATAGAAACTAATTTCAACATTGAAGTTAATAAGCCAAAATGCCTTTCCCGACAACTTTAATAAATGGAATATTAAGTATGAAAACTCATATATATTCTATATTGTGAGTGCTTGGGATTTAAGAATAGATATATTAATTGGGGTTTAGATCCTTGCTTATATATAAGAATGGATGGACCAGATTCAATCTCAAATGGATGGTCCAAGTACTATAATTAGTGTATTCTCTAGCTAAGATAATACATGT